CATTACACTTAAATATTTGAAGATTATAGCTATCAGAGAAGCAAGTCAGAGGAAGCGAGTTCCACTGTCGGGAAGACGCTGTTGAAGTAGAAGAGATGACTATATTTAACTGTTTCGACAGTAAAAGGGTGGGACCAAGATGCCAACCTAGTAGCACGCTTAAATTCATGCAGTTTGGGAACCAGTGAAAGCAGCTTGTCAGAGAAGTTTCCTTGAAAATACTTGTAGAAAAGACAGAGGGAAGCCACAACACATTTGTGAGAAAGTGACTGTAGAGGAGTTTTACTTTTACTCTCCTCCTTCCCAACTTCCCCTACTCCCTCTCCCTCTCTGATTTATTTTATGCTTTATTCTTTTTTATTTTATTTCTCTTCCTTCATTCGTGTTTTTTTTTAAATCTCTCTATCTATTCAATTCTCCTTTGTCTTTCAATTTTTCATTCTTGTTTCCGAAAAAATCTAACAGACCATTCCACTCAAAAAGGCCGGCTCAGAAGTTGTTGACATCTCTATATATTTTTGTATTTAGTCTACAAGAAAAATTATTTTTTTTTATCTGAATTTCTGCTTTAAGCATCTATCATTAATTACATTCGGACTATTGTCCTCATCTTTGTTGTTACTGTAACATTGTTTCGGCAGTTGTTCACTTCAGGTAATTTTTCGATCATATTTAGCAATGATCAGTTTTTGCTCGTTGAGGCTAATAGTTTTAGTTAATAGGTAAATATATAAGACAATTTATAACTGTCTATATTTCTGAGATGAGGTATTATGTACACTATTTACATTATTCGGAATATTGTCCTAATCATTGTCGCCATGTTTATTACAACGTTTCGACCGTTGTACGCCCCGGCCTTCTTCAGGTGGTTGGAATGTCGAACAGAACCCTTTATTTCGCTCGCTGGGATATAGTCCGAATAATGTAAATAGTGTACATAATATCTCATCTCAGAAAAAAAAAATAGATCCTGAAAGGCCGAAACGTTGTCATAAATATGGTGACGAAGATGAGGGCAATAGTCCGAACAATGTAAATAGTGTACATAATACCTCATCTCAGAAAATACAGACAGATAATGAAAGGCCGAAACGTTGTAATAAATATGGTGATTAAGATGAGGACAATAGTCCGAATAATGTAAATAGGGTACATAATGCCTGATCTCAGATATATAGACAGATACTGAAAGGCCGAAACGTTGTGATAAATATGGCGACAAAGATGAGGACAATGGTTTGAATAATGTAAATAGTGTATATAATACCTCATCTCAGAAATATAGACAGATAATGAAAGGCCGAAACGTTGTAATAAATATGACGACAAAGATGAGGAGAATAGTTCGAATAATGTAAATAGTGTACAATTTGTAAGTCTTTTATTTTAACGTGTTTCGCCACTCAAGCAGCATCACCAGAAAAATGGATTTGATTTCAACCAAATCTACATAATCGAGACACAATGAACGTTGCAATTTATTTTTAACTGTATCGTTTTTTTTTAATTAGATTTGATTAATTTTTTAATCGGTATCAGTCAAGCCTCCAAGACACAAGGGGATTACTGGATGTGGAAGAATTAGGAAGATAAACATATTTAATGAGCGAGGAAAGAAAAAAGTAATCAGGCGGGCAGTAGATAGCGATTAGCATTGCATTTAAATTATTGTAGAACCTAGTAGCACGCTTAAATACACGCTGTTGGGGTACCAGTGAATGTTGCACGTCAGAGCAGTTGCCATGAAAATACTTGTAGAAAAGACAGAGAGAAGCCACAACACATCTGTGAGAAAGTGACTGTAGACGATTTTTACTTTTACTCTCCTCGCTCCTAAACTTCCCCCACTCCCTTTACCTCTCTCAATAAGTTGGCTGGAATGCATGGAGCCGGAAGGGAGTTCCACAAGCGAGAAGTGTGAGAAAAGAAATTTACAGCTACATCTAGCCAGCTCAACTGTAAATTGATGAGATCTAGACGACAGTCTAGTACTGCGCTTAAATTAAAAAAAAGTCTAGGTGCCATAAGTGACTGAAGCCGAGCTGCCAGATGAGGGTTAAAAATATTGCTGATTCTTCTTTGAATTTTATCAAGGAGCTCAAGGTAAATATCATGTGCACCGGAACATACATGGCAGTAATATTCTAAGCATGGACGAATGGTAGACTTATAGATATGTACGATAGATACTGGAGAGAAAAATGTCTCGCACGACACAGTGAATCAACATTCTTGGCAGATGACCCAGCAATAGATTCAATATAGTATTACTACTTCAGCTGAGAACGTTAGCCCGAGAATGTCCAACGAGTCTCTTTCCTGAAGGTTAGCATCAGCCATGCTGATGAAAGGCAGCGAGGGTCTCCAGGATGATTGATGGAGCTTTTTTTTTTTTTTATACATTTCTTTCTTTTTTTCTTTTTTTTTTTAAAGACAACATTATTTTAACAATATTTTTAAACTAAATGTTCACTCACTGCTAGGCTCAAGAGCAGCTCAAGGTAGAGGTTTGAAGTTCAATGGGCGTAATTCTAAGTAAGAACTACAGATTATGAAGACATGTAAGAAATATAACTGTTTATCCTAGATTTGAAGAAGCTAAGATTGTACTGGTCGGGAAAACATCCTCTCAGGGGTAGCTGATCTCGTCACTAGAGGAAGTTGAAGGGAGTCCTGCTCATTCTTCCTGCGTCACGCTTGTCCGACCACTTTTAGACTTCTCGATCCACTCATATAGACCCCTTGCTGCACACTGCTAGCGAAGCGGCCATGTTTACACTGTAATAGCAGCAAGAAAACTGGCGTGATCAAGTTCAAAGTTCGATCACAGGATCACAATCGTACCATCTATAAACACGCATGAGCAGACAGCAGTTTGACACACTTAAAGATATATTATGAGGAAAGTGCTGATCATTTTTGATTTACCTACGTATATTAAATAAAATCATTCCTTGCTAAATGGTTGAAGTATCAGGAAATTAACTCAGAGGGACGAAAATAATCTTGCGTCCTGGGTATGACGATAAACTACATCTGCGTCCTGGGTAAGATGATAAACTACATCTGACAGAAAGACCTTTGATCAGAAAGTTTTCAGGACCGTGGAACCACCTCTTAATTGCTGGTTTTCCCAGGTCTACCTGGACGTGGAGTGGTAGCACCTGTCAGGGTCTCAGCTGTGGGCAAATAGTTAACCCCCAACCCCCAAATGGCTCAAAACACTATGAAAGTATAAAAATAGGTTTTAATACTAGCAATACATCTTTGGAAAAAATATTACCATCAATAAAAATCTTGTCGGCATTAAATAATCCATTGAGGTTGATATACCGTAAAACCAAACCAAACCGAAAATAATTTAATTAATGCATAATGGTAAATATTTCAGGCGTCATAAAATTCAATATTCTTCTCGGTTTTTCAGACTTTTTCTCTGAAGAGCCCAACATGTTATAATGAAAATCATTTGCTCGGCAAAATAGCAGCAACAGTATAAAGCTTGTCTCTAAAGTTGCAATAATAGGTTTAATATATTTTCCTATCAAATCACATTGCAAAAAAATAAAAAAATAAAAATAAAAAACCCAAAACCCAAACACCAAACACGTCCAACTTTGTCTTCAGTTCAACCCCCACCCACCCACAAGCCTTGCAACATTAGTCGTTTTTATTAAATCGAAGTGGCAATTTTGAAGTAATCCGTGGTATTATAGATTATCAGACGTAAACAAACGACAAAATCGAATATAAAACTTAAAAAAAACAGAAGAATTTATTCTATATGAGAGATCTACCATCAAAGTATTATCCGTTTACTTATTATAAATCTAAAACAAAGATTGTCTTCTTTTTCTGTGTATAGTGTCTCATGTGGGCAATCCTAAATATACTTCGTAGCCCTTAGTAAAGTTTGTATTTTCACCTTCGCCTTCAGTCCCTGTTCTGTCATCCATTTGTATAAGCTTGTTTGGTAGATTGCTCGCTGTTTCCTCTGTCCTTCTTGCCTGTAATGTCATGTTAGTGTTATATTCTCCAATCCCTCTTTCTTCATGAAATGTCCAAGAAATATCATCTGTTTCTCTCTGATTCTAACTATAAGGGTCCTTTTTGGTTCCATTTTCTTTAACACTTACTTGTTTCTCATATGTTCAATCCATGGTATCCTCATATAGAACTGTATTTCTGTTGCATCAAGTCTCTTTTTTATGTGTGAGAAGATTTTCCAGCATTCACTGTTACATAGGGGAATTGCTATAGCATAACATTTTAACACACTTTTCTTTTTTTATTGAAATTTTTATGTTTCTTAATAATTTGCTTACCTTTTGGAGGGCATCTTATGTTCGTTCATCGTAACTCTAAATAAATCGGCAGACCAAGATCATATTCTGGCTTAGGATCGTTTAACACTATATGATCTGTAGCCGTGGGTGAAATAAAAAGGCAAATTGGTCGCTTTAACATTATTTGGGTAATGATTCCCGGAGAAGGGTAGGTTTAAATTCTAATATGCTGCTAATTAATCTTCGTGGGTATGATTCTTATCCAACATGATTTTGTTTAAATCATTTCAATTCATCTGCTTTTGACAAGGTCTTCAGGAATATGTAAAGGGCTTAATGCCAATATCTACTTGCATATCCAATTCGCCAAGTTATTTTCATAGGATCAAATGTTTCAATAATTCTGAGGGTCATTCTTTACTGTTATTCTCTCAGATTTTTGTTCGAATAGATCCAATAGTTTGTTGTGTGTTCAATTAAAGCTTTTCTTGCAGTGGGCTTTGAGACTAATGGGGGGAAAGAAAGGAATATTTCCAGTTGGCATTTCCCCCATTATAGGCAGTATTATATCAGTGATAAAATAACGCCTTGATACACAGACGGAACAGAGTAGCTGGAAGAAAGTAATGATAAATATGCATTATTCTTAAATAAATTACTTCATAGCAATATATACATGCTTACCAGTATTTTGTCCCACACATTATCCCATTATAACACATGTTTGAAAGAGGCGAAAAACAGAGAGAGAGAGAGAGAGAGAGAGAGAGAGAGAGAGAGAGAGAGAGAGAGAGAGAGAGAGAGAGAGAGAGAGAGAGAGAGAGAGAGAGAGAGAGAGAGAGAGAGAGTCTTACTTGTTATATTACTCAATAGTGATATCTTCTATATACCTGGTTAGACCATATGGTATTCTTTGATGCACTACTAATGTGGGCTTGTTACGTCCATCTTCAACGCAGCCTACATAGGAACTGACGTGGGTAGGCACATATTGACTCTAGGCATACTAAGTAAAAAGTGTCTTTGGTCACTCTATGAACTGACGTCACCCACCGACCGTCATGTGACCCTAGTGACTATTTCGATCAAAGGGAGATAATCACCTTTTGAATTCCTACACGCCTATTCAAAGAGCTCCAATAAGGAATGGTGTGCGCCTTATAGTTATATTCCTACATTGTTATCTTTTCCTTCTTTCGTTGGTTTCCTCGCTTTTTGCTATAATATGAGCGGTTAATTGAAGACTCTTCTCTAGTGAATCAAAAACATGAAACTCTTTACTCTTTTGGAAAGACGTAAGCATGAAAGATACAATCAAGTCTCTTTTAAAAGGCACGGTTACATTGTCTTGTTATTTATTGTAACTTTGTAATTGCTTTCGAAGAGAAATTGATTATCCTAGAGCTGATTATTTTAAAATCGGTTCTAATGAAATTCTGAATCATTTCACGTCTCCACATTTAGAAAAAAAGTGCCAGGCACCTGAAAATCTTTCCGATCGTTTCAGCGCTAATTGCAGAAGGCCGGAAGCGGTATTGTTTTTCTTAAATTAAAACCAAAATACATACGAGATATAAGTTTATATATGTATGTAGGTTTTCCTTTTAATATAATAAAAGTACATTTATCTATAGCAGTTTCTTAATATCTGTCTATTGCTATTGGTCTTTTCCTTATCCATCAATCAATCTATTTACATAAAACATTTTCAAACTCAAAACAAGTTTAAGTGACAACAAAAACTTTCAAATGTTAAAATTCAACATCATTCAAAAGATGCACTCGATCACACGGACTCTGAATTTCGTCTTCCGTTCGAATGACAGAACTAAGTGAAAAGAGATCGGAAGCTTAAGACAATGTAACATGATCTGGGGAAAATTCCTTTAAACCTTCTACACCATGTTACGGAAACTAATCTAGTATCATCTGGTGCCTGCTTGGTTTATCAGCGACTATAGTGGTTCTCCCTCCAATCTAGTCTAGTGAGAATGGTGGATAGACACTTGTAAATACTGCTTGGGTTATGTGATGAGGTTATGAAATGTAATTGTGTGTTCTAAGAGCATTTATCTATTATACATTTAATGATTCAGGAAAAAACAACGAGATCCCAATGTGCATCAACAATAAAATATATATTGTAACAATAACATACAAAACGATCATGCAATGGTATGTCGTAATTAAAGAAGAAAAAGTTGCTTCCCTTAACTATATTCTGATTAAGATTGAATGTACAAAAGAATTTCTCTTGAATAAGAATGTTCAGGATTCTATGTTGAATAGAGTCTAGTGTTAGAATAGAATATAATTGTGTTGTTTTGTAAGAGAGTTCTGGTTCATGAACTTAGCATAGTCACAGAGAGGGAGAATATGTATAATGTGATACAAAAATCTGTGTCTGTGCGTGCGTTGTGAGTAAAATCGTGGATTTGTGTAGACAGGCGTAATAGCTGAACTCTACAGACGACTTGCAAGAAAAGTCGGTAAGAGTTGTTGGCAATGTTCTTTAACGTCTGACCGCACGGTTAAGACGGGAGTTCTTGAAGATTACATCTTGGCAGCAAGGAAAAGATGAATGAAGAGAAACACGAGTCGGGTGTATTCGTGTTTTGTTTATATAAGGCTGTGTCACACGTGACAGGCCGCGAAGATTGTTTGCGGGAAAATTATTCCTCGCGTGCCGGCGATTTGATTAGTCGGGATTGACCAGTCAGCAAGCTAGTTTTGAGGAGATTAGCTAATGAATGCTTGCCGTATGATAGTGTGTATGTATGTGTGATAGCGATAATAATCGCTACACACTCAACAGAATTACAAAAAAAAAAAAAATCAAAAAGCGGATGAATTCCATTATCAACGACCATCTAGCACACAGGACAACTGGGAATAGGTATGTCTGCTTTATCTGTATTTGTTAATCCATACCTGTCGGGGAAGGAAAAGTATGATTTAATATCTGTGACTTCGGTTGCATCAAGTGATGTAGACTAGTAATTTGGTTGGGTGGGGGACAAGGGCATCTGAAGGTCAGAGATCACTTGATTTATACATCTTTAATGTCTTTCAATGTTTCAAGGAAGTATTGCAATAACTTATGGAAGTTCACCCGAATATTACTGGAAAACCTACTCCAAAAGGTGCCCAATATTGCCACAACTGGCCAAGAGAGTATAAGTCCCAATCGGGACTAAAAATTCATATCCGCTTTGGCTATGTTTGAAGATCAATCGAGTGATGGAAATATCCGAAAACGAATTCCAGACATCATATTTGCCTGTCTGTCTGTCTGTCTCTTTCTTTCTTTTCTCTCTCTCTCTCTCTCTCTCTCTCTATATATATATATATATATATATATATATATATATATTCATTCAGTAAATAATAATTGTGTGGACAAGCAAACTATTTAAATACTTTTGGGACCGAGCTAGAAACTCTTCAATATTAAATAAATTAAATTATACAGGAAGATAAAATCTTTAATAAAATATAAGGAACTATGATTGACTTAAAACCTACAGAGAAGCGACTAAACTTTCGTCTTTACCAACACTTTGGTCTGTCTCAGAACAATCGATCAAATTCTAAATATATCAATTACATTATCGGATGTCAGAAATTTTCATATTTATTTTACATTAATCATTTCAATAATTGTAGAGACTGAAATATGTTTCTTTCGTCTTAGGTTCGAAGCGTGATAATCTGAAGTTTTTATTTTAATCTATTTACATTTAAATCTCTCTCTTGAATTACTGATCATCTCTATTTTGACATCTTTTTATTCTGGCCTCTTCTTGGCATCTGAAAATGCTAGCAATAAAAGCTAGTTAAAAATGTCTAAAATCGAATATAAGTATAGTAGTACTATGACATTCAGGAGTCTTCTAGTACTTTTTGGAACTTTCTAGAACATTCTTGAACATTATCTGTAAATGTTATGCTATAGCTAAAACTGTTAAATGTGTTAAAAGACATAAGTACTAGAAAATTACACCATTACCAAACTGAAAAATAAAGTTACTGAAATATTTTGATATTTATTCTTATTGCGTGTATGATAAACTAGTATTTGTGGGTTACCTTTTTCAAGAAGTAAAACAAACACTTATCATTACTTATCAACAAAGCTTCATTGATTTATCATATAGAAACATAGGGTTACAAAAAATGCATGAAATCTAATATATATATATATAGGAAGAGAGAGAGAGAGAGCTCAGCGGTAGAAACTCTGACTGACAAACTCTGGGTTACAAAAAATGCATTAAATCTAATATATATATATATAGATAGATAGATAGAGAGAGAGAGAGAGAGAGAGAGAATTTGCGGGAGAAACTCTGACTGACACCAAATTGGTCGGGTTTCGGTCCTGGCTTGAAGCATTCGGATGTCTAGTTGAACTGAGGAGCTGTGATACAGCAAAACAGTACTGTCTGCGAATGACAATATATATATATATATATATATATATATATATATATTGTTACCAGAATTGTTTTACTTCCCCTTTGTCCCTTATTTTTTAGTTTAGATCCCTTTTAGCGTGGCCACTGTTTTTGACCACTTCCGGTTAGACATTAGTATATCACTGGAACCCTTGACAGTAAAGCATGACACAAATTACGCAGTCGGCAGTTTTATAATCCTCCTACTCTCACCCCCAATGTTAGCCATCATCGGTTTATAACTTTTAATACGTTTTCACTATACATTGTTATTATTTGAGCATTGGTTTAAAAATAGTCATATTTTATACGTTTGTGTCTCTCTGCGTAGACTCCTTTCAACACGTATCCAGTGTCCACGGTGTTGCAAAATATAACCTTCTTTAACTTCTTTTCCATGAACTCACCGCGACATTGAAATTTATTCCTGTAGGAAACTTTATACAAATTCATGTAAACAAAGTATTTGGACATTTTTTATTTTATCCATTCAGACAAATGGTCTTAATTTTATATTCAAGCCTCCAGCTGCTTCTCTTAAATTTCGTCTTAGCCTTGTTTGTTTGTATTTTCAGACCAACTAGTCTTATTGCTTTTTCTACTTTTACCTTTCAATAAACCTGCCGATGAACGGGATTTCATCTTCAGAGTCTTAAAAACCTGTATATGGTAGTCTTCGAGATAACGAACACATCTGACACATATTCTCGGGGGCAAAGCGCACCCGCATACTATCTCTTTCTCTTACAAATACACACACATATATTATCAAATGGACAAAGTCCGAAAATTATTTTAAGACATTTTTTATAGATAAATGCTCTGTTTATAATAAACAGTATTAACGACATTTATTGGCCTGAATGTCCAAGAAATTTTCACAGAAAATATGCGTCCTCCGACAGGAATCGAACCTGTATCCTATACGGAACCGTCATATAGCCATTTACCGATTTAGCCACAGATGAGAGTTTCGGTTACCAAGGTCGTTTTTACTTTTTTTAAATTAAAATTCTCTATGATTTTCCCTCGTACATTCATATCTGCTCGATGCGTATCTAAATGTAAACAAATGACGTCACATAGTTTGATAAAGTCCGACAATTATTTTAAGACATTTTTTTTTATGTTTATACGTTCTTTTTATAGGATACAGGTTCGATACAGGTTATATATATATATATTATTTGCCGACCTGAATATTCAAGGAATCTTATTAAAGAAAAACTATCAAGAAAACAACGTTTAATGTTTTCTATTATATAAATTGTCATACTATTTATTGCATACTGAGTACGATTACTAAGACCTAGTTTATATTAGGTAGTATTGAGTCTATAAGAAACTTTAAGCAGTCGAGTTTAAAGTAAATAATTCTCTTTTCAATCTCGAAATGTCTACGCCTACGGAATTTTGTCGTAGGCGAAAACGAAATCACAAAAGAATCGGCTACTGTGTATGCTTAGTTTTCGTAATTCTTTCAAATTGTTTCGTTTAATGAACCGTTCAAAATGGCCCGAGGAGTTAATTTATTTCCGCTTCATAGTCGTGCACCAGTGATTAAATCTATTATTGGATCAATGATTTTAAACTCTTCACGCTGTTTGCATGTGGATGAAACCTTTGGTGTTTATGTGCACGCCAAATAAACTGATTAACCGGTAATTTGTGACGATAAATAGACACGAAGACATACTTGGTTTCAAAAGAGTTTAATGAAGCAGAAAATATATGTATCCGTTGTACGTTTATGTTTACCGATGCCTGTCAGAGCATAAAATAAACATAACGAACATAAAACAACAATAAAAGCTGCGCGTTATATGTCTCTACTCTCTCAGCAGATCATATATATATATATATATATATATATATATATATATATATATATATATATTAAATGTAAGTAATTAATAAAATATCAACAAATAACATTATAAAATAGCTACAAATAACCACATTCGGAGCCACAGTTATTTCTATTTTCCGCCTGACGATTGTCGCTTCTGAGTGTAGACTTCAATGTTTTTATATATATATATATATATATATATATATATATATATAAAAGTGAACATTGAAAACGCTCAAGGCGACCAACTATTCATGCTAGACGCAATCGTCAGGCGGCGTGACGATTGCGTCTAACATGAAACAGCCTGTCGCCTCTCAGTGTTGACTTCAATGTTCACTTTTATATTTATATTTACATACGCTCTATCTCTGATATTTTGCATTTTATGCCATAATATAGCACACCTTAAAACTATATATATATATATATATATATATATATATATATATATATATATATATATATATATATATATATATTATTATTATTATTATTTAAATGTAAGTAATTAATAAAATATCAACCAATAACATTATAAAATAGCTACAAATAACCACATTCGGAGCCTCAGTTATTTCTATTTTCCCTAGAATAATTTGAAACATAATAATTTAACGCCCAGCGTCTAAACGACAGGATAATACAATAAACTTTACTACCCATAATGCACTATTGACCAGCAATAAATATAGTTAAGCCAAAACATAACACATGGATTGAAGATTTTAACATTAAATACAAATCAATCGATGCCAGTAAGTCATGTGTCAGCAGCGTGTAATGTAATAATTAGCCTTCTATTATTTTTTTTGGGCTTCTGTTTCAGTGGTTAGGATGCTAGCATTTTGACAGTGAGAACCGGGTTCGATTCTCAGCATGATCGATTTGTGAAGAAGGTGATTTCTGGAGATTCAATATCAGTGCGTAGCATTTTGAAAAAGATCGTGAGTTGCTGCCACAATCTTTTTTTTAATAAAATTTCTCGAACATTCAGGCTGGTAGACGAAAATAGATATATACGGTTTAATAAATAAACGCGACAAGAGAACAGGGAGACAGAAAAAATGTGAACACAGTAAGGGGACACGGAGATAGAAAGAAGGAGCGAAGACGACAATGTTACAGAGGGAGATAAAGACGGAGCGTATAGGAAAAGAGGACAGAAAGAAGGAGCATAGATGACAAGGGTACAGAGGAAGTAAAGACGACAAGGAGACAGAGAGAAAGATCGACGGAGCGAAGACGACATGCGCACAGAGGGAAAGAAAGAGGGAGCGAAGGTGACAAGGATACAGGGGGAGAGAAAGAAGGAGGGAAGACGACAAGGGTACAGAGGAAGCGAAAGAAGCAGCGAAGACGACAAGGGTACAGAGGAAGCGAAAGAAGCAGCGAAGACGACAAGGGTACAGAGGGAGAGAGAGGGGAGAAGACAAGGGTACAGAGGGAGAGAGAGGGGAGAAGACAAGGGTACAGAGGGAGAGAAAGAAGGAGCGAAGACGACAAGGGAACAGAGGGAGAAAAAGAAGGAGCAAAGACGACAAGGGTACAGAGGGAAAGAAAGAATGAATGAAGACGACAAGTGTATAGAGGAAGAGAAAGTGGAAGCGTTGAGGACAAGGGGACAGAGGGACAGACAGAAGGCGCGAAGACAACATGCGTGTAGAGGGAAAGAAAGAATGAGCGAACACGACAAGGGTAGAGAGGGAGAGAAAGAAGGAGCGAAGGCGACAAGGGCACAGAAGGAGAGAAAGAAGGAGCAAAGGCCACAAGGGTACAGAAGGAAAGAAAGAAGGAGCGAAGACGACAAGGGGACAGATGGAGTGAAAGAACGAACGAAGACATCAAGTTTACAGAGTAAAAGAAAAAAAAGAGCGAAGACGGTAAGGGGACAGAGAGAAGCAGCGAAGGCGACAAGGCGTCAGGGAGACAAAAGTAGAGAAGACGCTTAGGAGAATGAGACTTATAATTAGGTATGTGCATGAGATCGATAAAAAAATAGCATACCATGAATAAAAAAAGGCCTTAAATTTGATTAAAATAATTTTTATCGTATAAATGTTAATGTTATTATCAAGAGGAATGATCAAACTATTTTTGAATATTTTTAAAATTTTTAATAATTTCTAGCACGTCCAAAATTTTCGTTAAAAATCTTCAATTTTTTTGAATCGGAAAAATCGACAGATGATCGATAGTCTCCCGTTGTTTTTGATGTTTGTTTACAAAAGTGAATGTTGCCGTTTAAAATTTATTTAAAAAATCAATTATGATTTTTTTTTAACTAATTTTTAAAAAATTAGAAATTAGAAAGTTTATTTAGTATATTTTGAAACAAAGATTGCTTATTTTCTGTGATGAAAACATGTTTTTTTCAAATGGGAGAAAGCCGATCTGAACTGCGGTGTTGATTGACAAATGACAAGTGCGTGTTTTTCATCACGCACTGACATATTACGTGCGGAAATTTATAGTACGGAAGGTCGTAAGTGACAATTTATCTTTACGTTAACAACTTATTTACCTCGTTATTTTTAAGTAGTCATACCATGAAAAAACGGCCTTAAACTTGACGAAATCAGAATTTTATTACCAAAATGTTTATGTTACTATTAAGGGGAGAGAACAAAGTAATTTTTCATTATTTTAAATAATTTTCTGTCTTTATTAGAACGTTTTAACTTTTGATTGAAAAATCTCGTTTCTCGTCATCACCGGAACTTTAGTAAATAACATGGCAAATTTTTTGTTCATTTTTTTCTTATGACACATTAATTTTGAAAATCTTGCAAAAGTAGAAATAATTGTCAGATTTTAAAGAAACTTTCAGGAATGATGGAAATTATTATAAATTTTTTAAAGTAATTTTATATAAACATAAAGGCCGTTAACAGTGCCGTACAAATCAAGTCACGTGATGTTTTTATTGGATCATGTTTCTTCCGGGCCTCCGTACATTTGATTTAAGATTTTTTTTTCTACACATAGGTTAAAGGACAGTAAGATTATTCTCATTGCTTTTTCGTTGATTGTAAAAACCTTGTACTATTTATAATCTGTACAGATATAGGTACCTAAAAATAGCATTATATACAGGATTCGTCAGTACCGCTAATTTTAGAATATTTAACAACTTTTAGTAACTTTTAGTAACTTTATGTAAAAATAATAAAATAATTTATTAAATAACAATTAATTCATTTAAAATTCATTTTCATCAAAAGATTTTTTTGCCTTCAGACAATATTATGCATATTGATAAAAACAAATAAAAGCAACTAAAAGCATTTAAAATTAAATGGTATTTTTGTTTTATTGGGTTTTGTATGTTACAATTCAGAGCTGATTTTCGCGTTTACGTGTTCGGATTTTTTAAAAAAGAAAACCTGATTTACTTTCCTCAAAGCCTTGTGTTTTTATTAATATAATGACTTCCCTGCTTCGTCCATAAACTTTTACAGTTTTCTTTAATTCATTTATGGGGGTGGTAATATATGTATAAAAAATATATTTTATAATGACTTTAAAAAAAATAACATATTTATAATAATTTCCATCATTTCTGAATAGTTTCTGAAAGTTTCATTAAAATCTGACAATTATTTCTATTTTTTCAAGATTTTCAAAATTAATGTGTGTCATAAGAAAAAAATGCACAAAAAAGTCGCCATGTTATTTACTAGAGTTCCGGTGATGACGAGAAACAAGGTTTTTCAATCGAAAGTTAGAATGTTGTAATAAAGACAGAAAATTTTGAAAAATAATTAAAATTACTTTGTTCTTTACTCTTACTCGTAACATAGACATTTTGGCGATAAAATTTTTGTTTTCGTCAAGTTTGACGTCTTTTCATCAGACTATACGCTTTTTTTTAGCGATCTCGTGCGTATACCTACTTATAATTGACAAGACTGTGCATTGATCTTGTTGGCAGCAAACGACTGTCAAAGCTCACTTTGTCATAAGCCTTTCATAGTCAATGTGGCTACATACATATTCGTCTTAACTCGCCGATAATATCGATGAATGCTCTTCCCGTTGCATAAACACTTCTCTCTGTCACACTTTGGAGATATACTGGTATTGAAGTCGTTCAAATTGTGCCCTGCTACTTGACGGCCACTATTCCCACAAAATTTTCGGAATAATTTTAACCTCCCCGATGGTCATACTGCTTTGTAGCAGGCTTGCATTTGGCGTGCGTCTTTTTGCAAACTAATATCACTAAATTCATTAGTATCTAAAAAAATTCTTACAATCTAAAAATATTTACTGACATTAAATAACCTGGAAATAAGACAGAATAAAACAAACAATCAATCAAATTTTGATTATCAAACAGACGTCATTTTAGATTTATTTACATTCTCGATTTTCTTTTTGTATACATGTATAAAAACTACCGTGGCTATTGCCACAAATTGAGAGATCAGTTTATATAATGATTGTAATATGGAACTGATACCATACTTTATATCCACATTATAATTTCTTTGTTTATCCAATTCTGATTAGGTGTGAATCCACTTCCCCTCCTCTCATTAGTAAGTCTAGTATCATTAAAATCATTATTATCTAAACAAAAAAAACAAAAAAAATCTTACAATCTAAAAATATTTCCTGGTTAACGTTAGCACAAGGGCAGACAACCGTAAAATTAAAGAAAAGTAATTTTCTTTAGTCGGGACAATGTTAATGTTATAGCCAAACTACCTTGAAAATCAGCATTCAAAATCCTAAATCTTTACTACCTGGGCTGGAACATCGACCTCTGGCGTAAATATCAAATGCCCAATTATCTCAGTTACGAGACTGTCTGTATTCAAAAAAGGTTCTTTAATTCCAATTGATTCATTGTCTTCGAGTAACCAATTCGCTCGTCATTATGTGACTGTAATTTTCATTTACCCTCTAAAACAGCGAATAAAAAAACCCGAAAAAAACGAAAATAAAAAAAATATCAAGCAGAACTTTTATTAAGACACCTATCATTTCTTTTTCTTCCCGCTAAAAGTTTCTGCCTGCTTTCAAGCTGATAACTTCTTCGACACTAACGGCGCCCCGAAGAATTCGTTTGCGCACACTCTAATTACAATTACTTCAATTCGTTTTTAATACATTAGCGAACATCAGTTTTTGTCTTTTTTTTTCTTGAAACGAAAAATCTCTTTTCTTTTTTGTCCGATTCCTATGAATCCTTTTTCGTTTCGTTTCTGCATTCCGCCTATTGTCGCAGTTCCTCTTGAGGCCGTGTTCCCATCATGCAATTTCCTAATGTTCTCTTCCTCTCAATGTCTGTCATCCTTGAGATCACTTATCAATTTCCCACTCTTATTTTTCCTCTGTGTTTTATACATTACGCCTGTGAATTTCGCGAGCATTCAACATCCACGCTTTGCATCAATTCTTTCAGAAACTTTTGTGTTTGGCGTCACATACTGTTCTTTTATAGGTGTTCAGTTTGTGAGGATCTTATTGTCGATTGGATTTCGTTTCCTCAACCGAAAAGCCCGTTGCTTTATCTTCCTTTTAAAATGTTCTCGTCTTTTCATCACTTATTGATTTTGTTCAATATTTTGTTTTTATTTTTCATTTTCAATAACAAGGAATGCTTTGCAAAAGATTAAAAAAATGTTTGTGTGTTGTCTTCTTTCTATGAATTTGTTTTCGAATCTTTGTAAAAAAAATTATTTGAATATACATTTATTAAGTTTAGCTCTGTTAATCAAAGGGCTAAATGAGGATGAATGGAAGACTATGTTGCGTAATTGCTTCAGCTAGGAGATGAGCCGTTTTGAAAATCTATTAACAGAAATACTGGATGTAAAGATTGATCACCGATGTTACGGAAGAAACATGTCTCAGCAGCTAAGCTTGTATTATTCGTCTTTAATAACTATCATGGCTCTCCACAGCGTCCTGTTTTAATGTTATAAGTGTCCATTTCTTCTATTTGTTTTTTTTTTTGTCCTGGTTCTTCCATCCAATTATTCAAATTTATCAAATAGGTTTCTTCTTGCTTTACCTGCCTTAGAAAACCTATAAACGTTACGCTCTCCAAACCTTCTTTCCTCGTCAGGTGTCACCAAAATTACAGCCTATTAGCAACAGTTTCATGTCAAGGATAGCAGATTTACCGGTAACTCACAAACTTTGATATTGGCATATTGCTTGTATATATCAGCTGCCGTAAAGATTGCAGAGCCGATACATTAGAACGTTATAAAACCAGGCGTAATAACTAACCATTAGTAGAGAGCACAAAACCTATAGGGGGAATGTCTGAGAAGGCTGGGCATCAATGAGCGTTGTTCTGTCGAACAGTAATAATCACACAACATACATTTCAATAACCTTTTCGTTACCAGATCGAAGTTATCGAAATGTCAGTAGTTAGTCCATATATAGATTTACACAGAACGGATATTCAAATAGTCCGTGACCTCAAAGGCAGAATAAGCAAAGGTCTACACGATCTCAGCGGCCAAATAGGCGGAAGAAGGCAGCGCCAGTCGGGCTGGCGTAGCTAAGGTGGACTTGACAGCACGATGCAACCAGGTTTGCCAGATCTATTATGTCTCAATCCCCTTTGAGTCTCGAGGGAGGCGACTCTAGCCAAGTGTGTGGGCGTCTCCATCATGCAGTTGTTTACCAAAATCAAATTCACAGAATGGTCACGTCAATCTCTCTTTGATTTATAGCCCTCGCCTCCACCGCGACCAGCTGTGAAGGAAGGGAATAGGGAGTGAGGATGACAATCCCGATGCTCAGATGCGAGTGGGTGCTGACAGTCCGTGACCTCTGCATGCGAGTAGAGAACGAGTTCAGCGAATACACACACACACACACACACACACACACACACACACACACAGAGAAAAAAAGAGAAACAGAATTGCAATGACATGTTTTTCCCCGGATTTATTTAACCTGTACATCGATATGATACTAAGAGGAGAAGAAGAACGCCCAGTATATATTAT